AAAAATTGCCAAGAACAACTGGCGAATGTACCAAATAATAGAATCGAGACTTAGGTTGCTAGAATTCAAACGCCATGTGGAGTTCATGTTAGACCACTCATATTGACAAGGTTCTCATTCTTTAATTTATGTATTGTCTCGCTAATAGCTAAAAACCTTTTTTTTTAGTGTATTTTAGGATGACGCGGCAAGTTAAAGACAATATTTCTATTAACTTTATTTTTAAGTTAAAAGATACATGTACCTATCATTCAGTTAAATGCTCAACTATCCTCTCTCCTTTACCTATTAAGCCAGAGCTAGTAATTTTTTTTTTTGTTTTTGTTCAATGTTCAAATAAGTGATTACTTTAATCATAAACAAGCTAATACAACTTACACACCTCCTTTAGAGATGGTTAGATAAATATGATTAAAGCAACTCATCTAATACACCTATGCCCTCAGGCTACAGTATATTTTACACAATCAAAAGTCTACACAACATCATCGCTCCTATAAATCCGAGTAGTGAGAACATTTTAAGACAAAGCACACACCCTACACAACCTAACAGGTACACCTTACATTTGGCCAATAAGCATAAAACACATCTCTTTGATCTGCTCCTAATTTGGCTAAAGAATCACCAAGCGCATTAGCCTCCCTGAAAGTGTGCACAAAAACCTCTTTACCAATCGATTTCTTCCAACTTATCAATCTCAGCTTAACTATAAAAGGAGAGGTACCTAGCTCGAGTGATAATAGAGGTAAAGATGCCAATTTGTGTGAGCCAAATCACTCTCCTACGTCCAACTCTCTGGAAATGTTTTATACTTCACCAATTACATGAGCCTCAAATGGTATCTATTTCGAATCCTTTGAATCATGACGAGTATGCTAAAGTCTAATTATATTATATCAACTGCCTTCCCACCTCTCGTATTTCAAGTTTAAATTTAATATTTCTAAATTTGAAATCTATTTTTAACATATTAGATTTGAATAAAGCACATATGTAAGAAGCATTCTTAATTAGAGCTGTTTATGGACCCATTGATCGGCTCATGTCCGTGATGAGCTAAGGCATATACAACTTAGAAATTTTGTGGGTAAAATAAAAATATTTAAGAAGATATGTTTAATAAGAGACTCGTATTATAGTACATAAAAATTAAAAGATATTTTTATTTGGATTTCAGATTTATGCCAAAGCAACTAAGCATTTCAAGCTTTCACATAGATAGAGAGATTCCTTTGAACAATGTATACTGTCCAGCATAAGAACCAATATTTTTTTAGCTTTAGGGCATAGGTATTTTTCTTTATTTGATTCTCGATTTGATGTTTGCTTGGGTTCTCTGCCTTTGATCACATCTCTATAAATTTATGGAGTTTATTGCAAAGAGGACAACTTAAAACTCAATGATTTGAAATAGAAAAAAAAAATAAATGGGACAGCCACAAAGCATGCTTATACCTCATTAGCGGAAGCCCCAACCTGGCGATCACATCTATAGCACTAGGGCCGGAGGTCTCTAGGCTCACCATGGTCCATATGTTTCTTTGTTTTTTTTTTTTTATCTAGTGTCTCTTTTTTTTATTATCCTATTTTTCTTATTTTTCTCTTTCTTTTTTAAATATAAAAGACTTTATCACACCTTTATGTGATATTAAATATTTTTCATCTATGATTACTAGAACTCAATTTTTGGACATGCGACCTTTTAAAATAAACTCATAAATCCATCTATTTCAATAAATTTCTATTAAAATCTTACAAAATATACCACTTTGACGCCAAATTGATATCAACATGACATAAATCCAAAGCATACGGATGTTTGTGTGGGCAAAAAGTAGATGGGCAGCAAAGATATGGATTGTCCACGTGTCAAAAATATGTGGACTTATTTTGGACTAGATTTCATGCGAGGCGGACATCCGCATGATATTAGATAATAAGTTTAATTAATTTTGAACGGTAATTGACGGAACAGATGAATTTAAAATATTTTCAAAGACGTGAATTTAAAAATTAAATTTTAAATTCACAAATGAAAATAAAAAATATAACACAAAAATTAAGAATGATTGATTGCATTTTACTTCTTAATACCAAATATCATAAATTTTGCTCTCTTTTGACTCACACCAGGAATATATGTGGGCAATGACATGGCCATTCACCTCCAGGTACCTCCCAAGGGAAGTGGGGTCTTCTTCTCCATGCCAAAAATGTGATACAAGCGAGACTGCCAAGGTGGAATCATCAAGACTTGCCTTGTTGTTTCCTTGATGGTCGCTGGTCACTTGAGTTTATGAATATGGATCTCAATTTTGAGTTAATAATAAAACGAGGCTCTTGTACTATATTCCATACAAAGCCAGCCGATGAAGTAGTTAAAGAGAGCCAATGATCTCCTCAAGGGAATGGGTCTAAATTTAAGGACCGTAATTTCTTTGCAAACAATTGCGAAGACTTTGCGGTGTACTGCAAAAACAGGTTGGCCATAAGTATGGCAGGCAGTGGGAGGGGTTGAAGCTGCATCTAACATCTTTGGACAGGAAGTCTCTTTGGTATGGGAGTAAACTTAGGAGCTGAGGAGTTTATGTCTTGGCAAAAGCGATCCACGATGCCAATACTGCTAAATAGAGACACACCATAATATCTGTAAGAACAATAAGGATACACTGAGTTCATAAACTCTTTGATTTTCTTTCACATAAAGCACTATCTTGAAGCGGTAAATATGATGCACGCTTCTTTAATGGCCCAAAAGTTCAGCTTGATTGGAATCAGAAATGCAATAGACTTAGAGAATAGATGGCACATCTCTACACTCATTTCTTAAGATGCCACCTATGGCGGGAGTCACTTGGACAGCCACGAGTGGAACCATCCGTGTTGAATTTAGATACCTAACCTCTGGCCTGGACCAGTTCTTCGCTCTCCTACACGTCTTGTCGAAGCTTGGGATGGACACAGTCCTCCGTGAGGCAGTCTTGTAAGGTACCTACTAGAGTTGCTGGTCTCTTGCTATTGTGCTTTGATCCACCAAGCGACTCTGAATTTCAAGAGCTCAAAGTTTTGCTAAATGTCCCCAAATTTACCTTAAAGGCAATATCATTACGTGCTGTCCAACTGATCCAAATCAAAGCATAGCAAGCTCATTTCCAGGATCACCCATTATGCAGTGAATTAGCAATATCAACCCAGTCAAAAAACAGATAACCAATCTTCATGATCGCCAATGAACATTCCAAAAAGTTGACCCATTTTTGCCATAGTTGCCAGGATTTATCACATATAAAAAACAAGTGACTTATTAGATTATTCACACGGTGACATAAGAGATAGGTTAGCTGCGTCACCATTAATGATACCCTTACTGGACAAGAGTGTCCTGGACTGCTAGCCTTTTCCTACTAATCTGCCAGCATAGGGACCTTGGTTTTAAGGGGGGCTACGCCTGGCCCAAATAAGCTTGTAGTGGTTTCCCTTGGCTGAGTTGGAGAGACAGACTAGTCGACAGAAGGAAATGGGAATGTAGTTACTGCTAACACTGCCCTTCCAAACGAGTTACCCTGGAAGTCTTCATTGATGGTTTGCTCATTAATGAGGAATAAAAATTTCTCCAATTGTTCGTTTTCCCAAGCAAGGACATTTCTTCTAAGGTCGACTCTCCATACCCAAATATTGTCCGCCCAACTGCCAAACTCCCTACCGTAGCCTTCTTTTTTGGTTGCTACAGCAAAAATCAGGGGAAAAACTTGCTTGAGAACAAGCCAGTAATCCACTTGTCATCCCAAAATTTTACGTGATGGCCATTCCCCAAGGCCAAACCCAAGCCTTTAATAACAAATGAGTTGAATTCGCAAGAAGATGAGAGGGGTCTAGTTATGTTTTTCCATAAACTAGATGACTTACTGAGATTTCCAGTGCGTGGGAACAGTCCATTGTGGCTAAGACTAGAGTTTTCACAAACAATTTTCCTTCACAAGTTGTCCGGTTTGTTACTATATCGCCACAACCATTTGTTAAGAAGAGTTTTATTTTTAAAATTTATTTTTTTTAAGATATTAGATTTAAGTAAAGTACATATTTAAGAGGCGTTCTTAATTAGAGCTGTTCATGGACCAAATAATCGGCTCATTCTCATGATGAGCTAAAGCACATACAACTTAGAAAATTTGCAGGTAAAATAAAAATATTTAAGAAGATATTAACAGGAGATTCGTACTGTAATACATATAAATTAAAAGATATTTTTATTTGAATTTAGAATTTATGCCAAAGCAACTAAGCATTTCAAGCATTCACATGGATAGAGTGATTCCTTTGAACAATGTACACTGTCTAGCATCAGAAGCAATCTGTTTTTAGCTTTAGGGCATAGGTATGTTTCTTTATTTGATTCTTGATTTGATGTTTGCTTGGGTTCTCTGCTTCTGATCACATCTCTATAAATTTATGGAGTTTATTGCCAAGAGGACAACTTAAAACTCAAGGATTTGAAATAGAGAAAAAAAATTAAAATGGGACAGCCACAGACCTTGCTTACACCTGCTCGGAAGCCCCAACCTGGCGATCACATCTATAGCACAAGGGCCGGAGGTCTCTACGCTCACCTGGTACGTATGCTTCTTCTTCTTTATCCTATTTTTCTTATTTTTCTTTTTCTTTCTTTCTCTCTTAATATAAAGACTTTATCACACCTTTATGTGATATTTAATATTTGTCATCTATGATTATTAGACCTCAATTTTGAAATATCCACATTTTAAAAAGAAAATTCTAAATCCATCTATTTCATAAATGTCTATTTAAATCTTACAAAATTTACCACTTCACACACCAATTGATACAACATGACATAAAATCCCAACCATATGGATGTTTATGTGGCAATCGTAGATGGGCACAAAGACATGGATGTCTACGTGTCAAAAACATGTGGACTTATTTAATGTTTTCGAATAGATTTCATATGGGGTGGACATCCGTAGGATATTAAATAGTAACTTTAATTGGTTTTTAACTCTAACTGAAGGACCAGATGAATCTAGAAAATTTTCAAAGATAAGAACTTAAAAATTAAATTTTAAAATTCACAAATGAAAATAAAAAATACAACACAAAAATTAGGAATGAGTATCTGCATTTTACTTTTTAATCCCAAATGTCATAAATTTTACTTTTTTTTTTACTCACATCAGGAATATATGTGGGCAATGACATGGTTATTCACCTCCAGGCACCTCTCAAGGGAAGTGGGTCTTCTCTCAAGGGAAGTGGGTCTTCTTCCAAGGAAATTGAGTCTTCTTCTCCATGCCAAAAATGTGGATACAAGCGAGACTGCCAAGCTGGAATCATCAAGACCTGCCTTGATTGTTTCCTTGACGGTCGCTCATCATTTGAGTTTTATGAATACGGAGTCCCTATATATTATTTTAATAAGAAGCCACGTGGCACCTGTTGTGTGTCCCCTTCCAAGCCAGACCATGAAGTAGTTGAGAGAGCCACTGATCTCCTGGAAAGGAAAGGCTTTGGCGAGTACAATCTTTTTGCAAACAATTGCGAGCACTTTGCTGTGTACTGCAAAACAGGCTTGGCCTTCAGTCACCAGGTACAAGGGGCAGGCCTCGCTATTACAGAAATAGCAGAACCTTTGGGTAAAGGTCTCCTTCGCACTGGTGCAATCTTGGCTGTCCCCGTAGTATGTCTTTTTGCAAAAGCGATCACTGACGGCCAAAGACGCCCATAAGAATTTAACAACGTAGCTCGCTCGTGGTCGGTTGTATAACTGATTCACGAGGCAAACTGTTATAAATAAGAACAAGGAGTGATAATATGATATGTTAAGGCCCAAGAATTAATGCAGGAAAGTAAAGGCGAAAGCTTAATGGGTGAGCTTCACATCAGCCATAGTGGAATGTGAAAAATAGCATATAAAAGAATAAATTGAGAACTAAAGAGAAGCCGATCGATTAGCTTAGATATTCCGATTCAGGTGGTGTCCAACATGTACATGCATGTGTGGACGCTTTTGATGTGCTCTCAATGGGCTAAAGGATTGGCTTCTCTCCCAACACTTAGCTTGTTGCCTTGAGTGTGTGACAAAATTATCTTATAATATATATTATAAGATTAATTGATAAGGTAGTACTTATCTTTAATTGATTGCATATGGTATATAATTACTTGCGAATAAAATAACAACATATAATTTATTCACTAAAAACCTTTTACAAAAGAACCAACACTGCAACACAACTGCCTTATCGGCATCACAAAGCAAGAAAACCAGAATATTGAATCAAAAACCAACCAGAGCCCATCCGTTGATCCAGCAGCTTCCTTTACACTTCAGTAGGGAATTAACCTAAAATCTTATTCACTGAATTCAACTGATCATCGAGCTAAGGTCAATTCAACCACAAGACTTTTCTTTTCTTTTTTCTTTTTCGTTTTCCCCTAAATTAAAGCATCCTCAAGAAGACGACTTTAATTTAGCAAACCCTTTAGCTAGGATTGGTGCTATGATTCCAATTATAGGGATACTCTTAAAATTATGAATCTGTTCACTGAAGGGATGACCGGTTCTGCAGGCCGTTGCAAAACCTTCACACTTGTTACCGCAATGGTTATAGCCGCCGAAACAATTGTTATTATGGAACGCCTCGGCAATCTCCACAACAATTTGAGGCGGAAAATTAGGAGCGGAAGTGGTGCAGGTGCCAGCTATTTTCACCAGTTTGTCAAACTCGTATTCTTCATACCGGTAAAGACGAACCTACTTACTTGAAAAGAGACGGCGTGATAGGAAGCAATCCAGGCAGGTTTTGATGACTCCAAGGTGCACGCTCTTCTGATATCCTCATCTTTCACAGGGAGGTTTGTCCTTGGAGGCTCCCCTGTCGCTTTTAGTTTGGATGAAATGAATGACACGATCTTCACCTACGTTTATTCCTGCATGCATTGGGAGCAAGCATCCGGTGAATTTGATGGGTTTTCAAAGAAACTTTATGGTTTCAACTTTTCTCATATAATACTTCAACCACAAAGAGAATGTATAATTAATAAAATCCAAAAGAAAGAAAACGGACCATGATGTCTTTAAAGACGAATGAACTATGATTTCCTTGTCTATTCCATAAGTAAACAGTCACTCGATTTTCCCATTTCTGACAAATTTCTGATTTATGTAAGACCTCTGAAATCTGACCTACAACTTCTGAGATGCTGAGATGGAAGATTCATTTGAGTGGAAAACATTAAATATAGACTTAGCCAAACAAGTACAAGAAATCGAGGGGAAAATATTGCATGCATCTTCCATGGATGACTTGGTTTTATCCTTTATCACACATCTATTGCATCAGCGTCAGTGACTTGGTTAACTAAATATATTAATTCAGTGATAATGATATTCATGTTCCCAGCCTGATTAGTCAATAAAAGATATATGATACTAATTAATATTGATATTATGCAATACATAACTAATTACAATAAAGTGCGAAAACAGTCAGCAAATTGCTAACATTTTTTTTTTTTTGGAATGCAGCTATGTATGTCACTCAAAATGAGGGAAAAAGGGTCCACCGGCCACCAGTACAAAAACACTGCAGTCCAAAAAAATCAACCACAGAGGAGGACATGAATACTTGCTGTCATATCCTATACAGAGGGTCTGTACATAATAATCTATACAAAAGCGACCAGAACAACAACTTAGAGAAAGTGGAATCAGCAGGACTCAATACCAAACAGTTAGAAGCAGGGAGTATAAAGAGTCCTTCTTGGCAAGAAGAGGCACTAGTTGTGTGAGCAGCGCCCATGTCTTGAACATCATACGAATGGTTAATCCAAAGAAAAGCTGAAGGTCTTAATACACCATCTTTGACAAGAGAGTCAGCTTCACCGTTTGCCGATCTGGGGATATGATTAATGTGCCAAGTATTAATTCTGGCAAGGGTATTATGAACTTGCGTTGCCATAGTTCTAAAGCACAGCGGTACGCTGGTGGGAGTGGTGACCCATTTAACAACATTAGAGTTATCGCTTTCTAAGAGTAGTTTATACATTAGAGTTATCGCATTCCAAAAGTAGTTTACGACTGGAGTACCATCTTGAAGCTGCAGATATGATGGCAGCTTCTTTAAAGGCCAAAAGTTCAGCTTGATTGGAATCAGAAATGCCAATAGACTTAGAGAATAA